ACGATGCTTCCCTGATTCTTTCGCCATTTTCCTGGTTCGTGCTTGTAGCACTAGCTCCTGTCGTTCCTCGGATGACATTTGTGTCAACTGCGATTTGCTGTAAGCCTCGCCAAGGTAGTCTTCCAATAAAGCCTCCTCTTGTGATGCATTAAGAGGTGCTTGAGCCGCTGCAAAGGTTCGGAAAGTGGAGCCACAACATTGTGGATTGGTACAGCCAGGGAGACACATGCGATCTCCACGCTTACGAACAGTTTCAGAGAACGCATAGCTGTAGCCCTGATTGTAAGCCGGATTTGGCTTAAAGTCTTGAATACTAAGTTCTGTGACCGGTTTTTCTCGTAGAGGGATTTGTTCTTTGGATGACGAACCACGTTTTTTGCGAGTACTTGAGCGTGTCTCTGGCGGCTTCATTGTCCAGATTGGCCGATCCGGTGTTGGATATTCACGTGAATCCGAACGACGTTTGGATGCTGGCTTGGACGATTTCTTCTCAAGACCGGGGGTATGCGTGGTGCGGGACGAGCTTGATGGGAAAGAAGACTGCTCAGTCTTGACCTTAATTGGGCTTGTCTGTAGGGTCTTTGATGGTGCTTTGGAAGGCGTTTGGAGATCTTTCAAATCTCTAAGCCTCTGGTTCATCCGCGCCCGGGCTGAGTTCGGTGATAGTCGTAGCTCATTATCTAGCAAGGGCGGTGCTTCATTAGACTCCAATAAGTATTCATGCTTCTGTTGATACCGGGACCCCGTGTTCCTTGAGCGTTTGTTCGGTGGATCCTCAGAAACACTGTTCACTATATTTGGATCGATAGATTTTAGGACATTGGTCTCCACCTGGGTTGGCTCCATGGGCTCACTAAAGGCTCGGGTCTCCGCGCTGGTGACCTCTGAAAGCATAAGAGATTCTGTGGTCAGCCTTATTGGATGATTTGGCACAAGGACCTGGTCTGCTCCATTTTCTGATTTGACCTCTTGTGTTGATGGCGCGCTGTTGCATCTGCGCCGTCGAGGTGTCTCGGTGCTAGTGGTAGGGATTGATAGTCGCCTTCGATTATGACGAGGTGTCTGTAGCAAGTTGGATGCAGGATCATCCAGGTCCATCGTCGCCTCGTGATGAAGTAGCTTGTATGCAGAGACCGGAGGGCTGCTGCCTTGTTCTTCTTTCACACGGTACGGCCTGACCGGTGTGCCATCCGATAACCGGTCTGCGTAAACCTCAAACCTAGAAGTGGTGGGTTCTCCACGTTTGCGTTTCAGTGATCTCTCTGATACAAACTCCGGCATGTCGTCATCTTCACCTTCTACGCCTACTATCTGTTCATGCCGAGTCATTGATTCATTGCGTTCGTCCACTGTTGTCTGACTCGAACTTGGATGACCTTGCTGATGGCTGTCATGATCTGAAGTTATCCATTGGAGTTTTGATAGTTTCGAACCACCGATGCGAGACCGTGGCCTTGGTGTGATGTCTGCATTTTCAGATGGATCTCGTTCGCCCGAAACCGAATCCAATGTCGTCGTCGACTGATGTGCAGTCCCTTCGGCGGCATGGGGGGCCATGGCAGCAGGAGAGGAACGCCCTAAGTCAGTGAGAGCTGGGGACAGCCTGAGTGTAGCCAAAGTCCGCGGACTTGAAGGGATATTGGGTTCATTCCCTGGAGAAACATGGCTTGTAGGTGATCGCAGCCTTGCTTCCTCGACTCGACTTTGCAACTTAGGTTTCCGCTTCCCCGATTGCCGATCCGCATACTCTTGCCACGCGCGCACGCTCTCTTTCATGTCTTTGTTCTTTTGCATAACTGTAGCATTCTTCCTCTGCAGATACTTCACCTGCTGAGTGGCATCGCTATACTTCTTACTCAGTTCGCTGAACTTTTGAACAAGGTCAAGATATTGATCGTCTGTGGTTGTCGTCCCGACATCTTTGGTTGCTTTACTCTCAACTGATGCCGATGAGACAACTTCTGCATTGCGTCTGGCAAGTTGTTGTTTCAATTGCTCATTCTCCTCGACTAGGCGACGGTGCTCTTCCGTTGAAATACTTTGTGCAGTAGTCCCTTTCTCTCCTTGGATAGTAATTTTAGTCTGGGCTTGGTCTCTCAATTGAGCGTTCTCATTAGAAAGACGCGCCGACTTGGAAATCTCATTGTTCAAGTGTTCCAGTAGTGCCCCATGGTTCTTTTCCTCTGCTGGATATCAGTAATGGTTGCGCCGAAAGAGTGGTAATACCCGCTTTCTTTTAATTGGTTTTGATGTCTCTCTTCTCCTGAAGCGCAATTAGATACTGCTGGCGCAACTAGGCGTGTCATACGTACTCTTGTTCCACTCTTTGTCGAGACTCGGCTGGATGACCTCATCGTAGACACGCGACCACAGCGCTTTGTTCTGCTCTACCCAGGCTGTGAAGTCCGCCATCTCTCGCACAAAGAATATTGCATGAATTAGGACCGTGGCCACTCAGGTAAACTCGGATGTACTCTCGCCCGAGCGCGGCTGGCGATGTGCGGTGCAATTAGGCGGCAACGTCCAAAGCGCGCTAGTGCCAACGCGTAGTTAATCACGAGTGCCTTGGCGCACTGACCACACGCAGTATACGGGTGACGATTCTACCTCTAGAGCTAGAATTTAAAAAATATCAAAACTTTATTCTCATTGTAAAGATATAAAAATAATATATAATAGTTTTGCCTTTTTTGACGGATATCAAGATGACGAGTCGCGCATCCTCTGGATTCACGGCGACCTGGGTAAGGGCAAGGCGATGATGATGAGGATGGCACTGACAGAGGAGACCGCGTGTCGTGTAGGCGCTACACCTGTCTGACCAGAGAGGGCAGTAACGGCCTTCTTCTTCTTCTTCTTCTTCTTCTTCTTCTTCTTCTTCTTCTTCTAGAATATAATGCCGGAGCTAAGCAAGGCTGCGGCGGCCGTGCCAGACTAAGTGGGCATTCACCAGTAGCAATACCCAATCTATCCAGGAACAGCTCCTACATGTAGACTTTAGCCACCATACCAGCTTGAAAAGTCAACTTGTTCCGCATGAGCGGGGCGATTGTGTCATTCATCTAGTTCAAGGTCGCGCTGATAGGAACGTTCTTATGGGTGACGTTGGTGTACAAGGAGTTACGCTGACAACCATGCAGCAGGGGCTAGCCTGACTTCCGCAGCTCTATTAGCGCATACTCGAGCCCATCGCTACGAATAACGACGACGGGGATAGAGAATTTTACGAAGTGCTTCTCCGTGCGATTGCAATCGCTCAACGGCCGCTTGATTAGGCAGATATAGGCTAGCTAGCTGTTCTACACGAAGCAATCGATCAAGTGGTCTGTTAGCGTCTGCCACTACATATGGAGTATACATGCTGCCACTGGGCCGACCATGCTGAGGCGGGCGGTATAGCCACTGAAGATTGAGGGAAGGTGCATGGGTTTCTAAAGGTGCGTGCTTGTTGGTGCTGTTCGAAGCGCTCAGTTGGCTCGGCCGGATCTTGGATGGCATGGGAGCAGTAAGGGGATCTCGCATAAGCTAACCCCACCCGACCTCTACTCTTATATACTTAAAAGCCTATATGTTACGCTGATATCTTATCTATCACGATTATAATCAAGTCGTCAATCCTATAAATTAAGCTCTACAATGTACTATAGGATACGGTAGAAGTTGTGTGCATAAGCACTAGTAAAGAGATTATACAGGTTAGGGTAGAAGAAAGAGCTATACTATATAAATTAGAAGCTATACCATAAATGTATTATCGTGGTGGAGCAACCACGAGGTATGCGGGTAGACAGCCCGAAAGGTATTCAGACGTGGATATAATGGAAACTACACCGAGGGAAGAAAAACAACAGCAGATAGGTACACAACCAACTTTCAAGTCTGAAGGCTCTTGAAGCTTCAAGAATACACTTATTTTACGCATCGAGGACCCGCGCAGATAGAGGTGAAAAACGCTCCACGACAATATCTCTCTACATTAAATCATCTCAAGAGGAGCCTGATCTTTGTTTTAGTGTCTCTACTGCACAGAACTTTTGCCCTACACCGCAGTAACGAACTCTTACCGTCGGTGTTTTAGCGGAACATTACATGGGAATACGTCCGCTTCTCTCCGTCAGCTGAATATAAAAAGAGCCCATATCCTACATGTAGTTGAACATTTGAATTATAATATACCTACTTTCGGGATAAGAATTATCAGTGTGCTGTTCGTATATAATCATCTTATCTTCTATATTGTATCTAAGCTAACTTCTTCTATAAAGTATTTATCGGTCTACCTCTATTCAATTTATTCCATCTGTTCTATTTATCACTAAACTATTTTCTTCGCACTTATACACCTTTGTGCCTTCAAGACAACACAAAAAGTATGTTTTACCTGAAACTATGAATACTTATCTTACTTTTTACGTAGTAAAGCTAGCGTTGATATTGGTTCTTCTAACATCAACTGATGCAGCACTTGATTGCTATATCGATTTCAAAGCCGTTCAACCTCCAGTCACGTTGGCTTTCTTTATAAATCACGCAATACCTCTGTGTGCGAGTTTCTCTTGTGTTTATGATAGCATTGACAGCAACAACTTTATAACTTGTCGATCCTGCCCTTTGTATATCGCGTCCGTCATCATAACCGGAAGAATTGGTCGGTCTAATGTTGGTATTAATTGTTTACATAAGTAAAGTAAGAGTTAAAGCAATCAAATTTATTGAACATTTAGTCTTTCTATAATAGTTTCTCTATCTTCCCATATATAATGTGTTTCGTGGATAGGCACAAAATATATTAGTTTGAAGTAGATGGCGAATTCTTCTTAAGAAGAGACCTTAGGTTCAGGTGAGACTATATATACATTTGTGCACGTGACTAATGCTGTATTGCCCCGAGGAGTCCCCGATAGATTACCGAGATTCAGCCGTACTACGACGCGATAACGGCGGTACAATCACCCCCGAGGCTCGCGCTCGCCTTCGCCGCCGACTCGACATTCTCTATCATGAAGCGTGCGCACGATGGGGATGACGACAACGAGCCTCCAGCCAAGGTGCAACGCCTCTTGCACCCGGATCGGCTGTCTAAATTGAGTGAAGAGCTGCTGGTTCGTGTACTGTCATTTATCCCTGTACCGTCCCTCCTAGTTTGCCAAAGGTTAGTACGCTCTTCTGAGGGATCGATTCCGAACTAACTGTCGCGCAGGGTATCGAAACGGTTCAGCCGCCTGTCTTTGGATTCTGAGCTTTGGAAGGCAGCCTACTACCGCACATTCGTTCTCCCACGGGCATCTCGCATACCTGGCATTAAAGACTCTGCCAATCCTAATCGATTACACTATTCCTCTCGGCTGTCAAAATGGCTGGAAGATGGCTATCTTGTCAAGGACGGGAAAGAAACAAATTGGAAACAACAGTATCGTTTACGGCATAACTGGACAAAAGGTAAATGCGCCGTCAGTGAGATTGTCGTTGCCGAACGACCGCCAGATCCACCTCTTCTAGTAATGATGTCGAACAGCATCGTCTATGCCGCAGATTCATTATCAGGTCTTCGGGCTTGGAGCTCGAAGGACGATCGCGAGCTACTGGCATCCACAGAACTCCATGTGGAAGCATATGCACCTCAACTACCCATATCTATGGCTATAGACGCCTCTGGGAAAGAGGCTAACGAAGAGAGGGTAGCTATGGGCTTCGAGGATGGTTCATTCTCGATATACGCACTAAAGAAAGATCGCAAGAGGTTCCAGACCCTCTTTACTCATCCGCCGTCCACTAACGGGATGTTATCGGCACTGGCGTACTCATCACCTTACCTTCTTACCATGACTGAAGATCATATCCTTTCCCTGTATGCTTTCGAAGGGACACCAAATATGCATGGCGCATTGGAGGCTCCTAAACTTCTGTATTCTCTCCGGTCACACACTGCATGGCCACCGGTCTCTCTTTCGTTGAGGATGAATGCGACAAGCATGACTGCAGCCATTGCATACTCTCTTCCAACCTACCTGTCTGGCTGGACTGTCGGTGTACAAGAACTGATACTTTCTCATAAGGGTGAGCTTCTGGAATCAAGGTTGACTACTGCAGCGGATGAGCATTCATTTACCCTATCTGCGTATCGTTCTCCAACTTCCCGTCCAGTACACTCCTCCTCAGATAGTGCAAGGGATGCATCTATCCTTAATGGACCTAGCAGATCAAAGCCAACCTCGATGTCGTACTCGCATCCCTACCTCCTTGTGGCGCACCCGGATAATACTTTATCGTTGTACTTGGTTCGATCAACATCTTCGGCGCTCTCGATCAGTTCTGGAAACCGGCTTTGGGGCCACACATCTTCAATTTCCGGCGCCCACGTCGGAATGCGCGGTAAGGCCGTGTCAGTTAGCAGAATTGGAGACGAACTCCGCGTCTGGGATTTGGAAGGCGGGATGAATTCTTCTGCAAACCGCAAACGCTCAAGGAACGGGGAGTTGAGTGTGCGTATACAGCCGTGGAAAGTTGGTGAAGCAGACAGTCAAGATGATGCTTCCGGAGGGGAGAGTGGGCTACGCTTTGCACTTGACCAGGGCTTTGATGACTCATCGGTCAGTCGAGGATGGGTTGGATTTGATGAACAAAACGTTGTCGTGTTACGAGAGAAGAGTGAAGGTAGTCAAGCACTTGTGGTTTACGATTTTACATAGGATTTCACAGAGTTGCGGCCGGACCGGACGGCATGATACCCCAGTTAGCGTCATATACTTTATTATGAGTTGAATCGTATTCCCATGCAACTCTGTCTATAGAATCTCATCTCTTGCTTCTCCTTTGCTAAATAATATTCGGCCATCGACCATCATTGACTGCTCTCCGCATAGCGAGCATATGTGTTGCATGGAAATACATACAGCCAAGAAGTTTTCAAGTACTTTAGACACAGATGTGACGGATGAGAAGTTCTTCTGTATATGCAGGCAGCAACTGTGACCCCGGGAGGGCGTTTGCTTATTGTATATGTTCGGCGCCCGAAGGGGGTGCGTCATGCCCACGAGGGCGCTAGTGCCCACGCTAATTTCGCTGTTACGTTGAGGGCGGGCGACCATGTGCCCAAACCATCCACTTCAAACTCACACGACATACAAGCTCGAATTCATCTTCAAATTCAAATACGCGACTCACGTGTAGAAGTTACTTAAATCATCGGAATCTGCAGAATTGAACACTGCAATGGCCTCGGAGGTAGTTAATAAGCTACAGAACCTGGTAACAGGGGAGTCCAAGAGTGCTCGCAAGAAGAAGGGCAAGCAGGAAGGAGCTACTGCAGTGCCAGCTGCACCCGAAAAGACAGCGTCTGAAGCCGGCGCAGGTGGCTCCGAGGCTGCAGGCAAAGCCAATGGCGCAGACAGCGACAACTCGTACCTCCGCGAGGTCCAGAAGTAAGTTGCAACTCTCCACATCACAGCCAGACTCCCCATTCGCAAAGAAGCCGCCTGCTAACAACCGGGCGCATAGAAACATTCGCAACATCAACAAGAAGCTGGTAAGATTAGCATGCCCCTTTACCCCTCACATTAGCCCTTGCTGACGTCGCATGTGTAGAGCGCAACTCAAAAGGTCGACTCAATAATCGCAGCCAACCCTGGCGTCTCTCTCGATGAGCTCCTCGCCTCTCGCAAGATCAACGCCGACCAAAAGGCCCAGGCTGAGAGGAAACCAGGTCTCCAAGCTCAGCTCGCACAGTATGAGGAGCAATACACCAACTATAAGAAGTACGGTGATGAGCTCGAGGCCAAGTTCGCCAAGGAGAAAGAGCTTCTCTCCAAGACACACTCTAGCGAACTCGAGACATTGAGGGAGACTATCAAGGCCGAGGCCAAGTTGGAGCAACAGAGGATTGTCAAGGAGAAGCTCCTGACCCTGTCCCGCTTCTTGAGAGCTGCTGCCGCACGTCGCCAATTAGAGGACGACGATTCGGATCTCACAAAGGCCTTTGAGGGCGCTCTTCTCCAGGTCTACGGAGGAGATGCCGCTGCTGTCATGGCAGCTGAGAAGCTGATTGACGGTGCGAGCGACGGCGTCCCATCAACTGAGGGCGTTGTGCTGGGCATCACTTGTAGGTTATGGAGAATCATGTGCGAGAGCAATATCAGCTGACTGTGTATAGATTCTCAGGTGAAGCAAGCTGCGCTTGAGGAAGCTCCCTTCGCTGCGGAAGAAGCTTGGGTAGACGATGTTGCGCAACACCAGGCTGCCCCTCCTGAGGCCGTGTCCGACCCAACCATCGCCAACGCCGGACTTACCGAGATTGAGGCTGGCGCAAAGCCTGTTACTGAAGCTGCGACAGAGCCTTCAGAGGTACCAGCAGCAGCCAACGTTGGAACAGACTCGGCGAACGCTGCAGCTCAGGCTCAATGGGACAAGCAGCAGACTGGAAGCGACGACCCTCTGACCGAATCTTTCGAGATAGTCCCGCGAGACCCCGCCGAAACCGAGACACCACACGCTGCTGCTGCCCCTAACAGCACCCAGAGCTGGGCTGACGACACTCCCGAGCAAGGCTCGGCGCCCGCAGGCCCTGCGGCTGCTAACGACGGCTTTTCTGAAGTCCATCACAGCCGTGGCGGCCGGGGACGAGGAGGTCACGGTGGCGGTGATCGCGGCGGATACAGGGGTAGGGGCCGAGGCGGACCCCGCGGTGAATTCCGTGGTGGCCGTGGCCGTGGCCGTGGAGAGTTCAGGGGAGGACGTGGCGGTTTCCGTGGCGGTCCCCGAGGTGAATCATCGTAAAGCAGGAAGTATAGCATTCCTGTGAAAAGGCTCGTACACGCAGAAAACAAAAGTTGCTTGCACGAAGGGTTTGGGTGCTCTTGCATGAGTGTCTGGGCAGAATGAGTTATGAAGAGCTGATAGGCGTAATGTACGGCCTAGTGGATTTGGTAGCATAGCATCGGTGCATAGGATCTCTATTTCTTCGGGTATGGGACACTGTACTATATTCTGGGGGATGATCTGGCGCTCAAAAAACATGGCTTGTACGATTGTCTTAATTTCGGTTCACTTGTGTGTGTGTGTGTGTGTGTGTGTGTGTGTGTGTGTGTGTGTGTGTGTGTGTGTGAAAGAGAGGTGGTTTGTGTCTATTGTGAGAGGTTTATGGATTTGAGGGAAAGAGGAGTTTGTGACTTGGCATGGAAGCATGGGCAAACGATGACGATGACGGCTCGGCTTGCCCCTGGCAGTAGCGGCGTGTCGATCCGGGGAAGATGCATGGGGGATGTGCTGGCTGCTCAACGACTCCGATTGGCGAATGCGAGTACGACGAGTCGGTGTGGAGTTGGCAGCACGCACCCTGCCATGACTAAAGACTGTTGTCCTTGTCACGCCCCACGTGGAGGAGACCAAGGTAGAGTCAGTGCAGCCTATCCAAGTGACCATACACTTCGCTTTTGCTTTGGGGTTTCTTCCTCAAAAGGCCCTGTAACGAAGCGGTCCATTGGTGGTGAGCTCGACCCAAGTGCTAAACAAAACCAGCACTGCGTCACTGGAGGCTGCAACAGCTCGTGAAGGTCCCAAAATATAGCTGAGCTCGATTTTATCTCTTACTTCTATCTAATAGGATGCAAAATCACTACCTCAAGTTGTCCATGCTGTGGTGTGATGAGTTTATCCCGGTCATCGTGGTGCCGCTGGGCAGTCCACCAACACTGACTTACGGTTCATGCGACTATTGAAGCATGTACATATACGAATAGGGAAAAAAGCACACGCCTCTCGCAAAGGCCTTTTGGCGAGGACGAGCGTGTTCCGCATACTGGCGGGGTGTAGCCTGGCAGTGCCGTGACGGGCGAACTAGTGGGTTTTGCAACCGTTGAGATGGGCGCCAGTCAGAAAAGCTTAACCCCTAAATCCAGGTACACTGTTTCAAGCTTAGTATGCGTGCAAGACGAAGAGTTTGACCATGAAGCCAACTGCTGCAATGCGCATCATGCATAACTGACGCTTGAACAATGTGGTGGAGTTAATCGTCGCACTGCCTGCATGTAACCGCGGATGTCTGGAGGGGGAACCCTGGCAGACTCAGACTGGTTGCTGGCAAGGCTACAATCTTATCAGATTAGATTTCACAGATGTGACCTTGGATGACGTGCATGCCGCTTGGGAGTCGCACATGATCTACATCTCGCGCGTTACTCCGCTCAGGAACCTCTATACCCAGTAGGTAAGAGACAGCCCCTTCCTCACTTTCTTCAGCTCTGTAACGCATAGAGAAATTGATAGCGGCTGCATCCCACGCCTTCGCCTGGATGGTAAAGATGGCTCGATCATCAGTCGACAAGCCGGGGTCTATGCACGCTAATCACTAGCTGGGTACGCGCACAGACCGCGAGCCTGCAACCTCCTCATTCTTGCACACCTAGCCTCCTGGTGTTCTCAGCCGTCTACCTGCCCCGACAACTTGCGATTTCGCCATCTGACAACACCAGAGGCCCGGGATACCTCGTGCGCTACCGGCAAAATTGTTGCGGAGCTAATAGATTCACGCGCGCCCTCCGTGGCGGAAAAGCGACCCATGTTGACCACATCGTCTCCGAAACCCTAATCATCAGTCGCCAACGACCTCCTCCCTCCTCTGCACAACAAACCTCTCTTGTGCGACGATCGCCTTTACCATGGAGGCGCCGCAAGACGTCATGCCTTCGGTCGAGGCACCACCTGTCCCTCAGGATGACGCCACCAACAAACCCGCTCTAACGCCGCCCACGAGCGAAGACAATGATAAGCATTTTGAGGATATGTCGTCGGAACTTTCAGACATTGATAGCGACGACGGCGAAGACATCGAGCCCGACCACTACTTTGAAGGGGGAAAGATACCCGTGTTCAAGCCGGTACGTCGCAAAGGTGCACATGAGCTGCTCCAGAAAGCAATGGCGACGCGCGCAATGTCACTACAGATGTGACGCACGCGAAGGCAGTTTCCATGGTACTGACTTTACCCTTTACAGACAATGGACCAGTTTCGCAACTTTAAGCGCTTCATCGATAAGGTTGACAAGTACGGTATGAAGTCCGGTATAATCAAGGTCATTCCGCCGACAGAATGGTATGTTAAAGCGACTGTTACCAATCATTGTTTTGTAACTAATAGCATGGTAGGCGCGAATCCCTCCCTGACCTTACCGAAGCTGTCAAGAGCATCAAAGTCAAGAATCCAATTACGCAAGAGTTCAATGGGCAGCATGGCATATACACACAAGCGAATATTGAGAAGCAGCGATCATACAACCTACCAGAGTGGAGGGCAGTGACGGATGAGCCGCATCATCAGCCACCGGCCAAGCGAGGTGAGCGGCGCAAAGCTGCCCCAGAGGTTCCCACTCGAACCCGCTCCACAAGGGCCCAACCCGCACCCTCAAAAAACGATGATGCCTCGCCAACACCCAGGCGTGGACCTGGCCGCCCTACCCGGAGGCGTCAGGTGAAGAAGGAGCCGGTTGATGACGATGACGACGACGAAGAGTCCATGGATGTTCCCCCTACACCAACATCACCTGGAAAAGAGGAGAAGAGGTCTTCAAGAAGAGTCAAGAAGGAACCCCGGGCCGCGACACCCACCAGAGCACGTGGTCGACAGCCCAAAGCGGCCGATGAGAAGAAGTCTGTTTCGTCTCGACGACTGAACAATCGGGGTGCTATGGCCGACCAT